AAAAAAAAAAAAAGTCAGGCGTTGAGGCAGGCTCCTGTAGTCCCAGGTACTTAAGAGGCAGAGGCAGGAGAATCGCTTGAGCCCAGGAGTTGGAAGTTGCTGTAAGCTGTGATGCCACAGCACTCTACCCAGGGTGACAACTTGAGGCTCTGTCTCAAAAAAAAAAAAAGAATTATAAAATAAAATGTTAATGCAGTGTGCAATTTTCTGTTATCCAATATGATTAAAACATTAACTGACAACTGTTAGCTTGTTCAGATGGTAGGTACGAAGATGTCAATCAATAAAGTATAATTCCTTCCTCTAAGTGGGAATTAGTAGATTGAAGTTACTCCTTTGTGTCTATTTTCTCCCTCCTATTACAACTCCCTTGGGTTCTAATTTTCTTTTCTTTTTTGGAGACGTAGTCTCACATTGTTTCCTTTGGTAAAGTGCTGTGGTGTCATAGCTCACAGCAACCTCTAACTCCTGGGCTCAAGCAATTCTCTTGCCTCAGCTTTCTGAGTAGGTGGACTACAGGCACCCACCACGCCAGGCTATTTTTATAGACAAGATCCCCCTGTGGCTCAGCCTGGTCTAAACGTGTGAGCTCAGGCAATCCACCCTCCTTGGCCTCCCAGAGTGCCAGGATTACAGGCGTGAGACCTTGGGTTGTAATCTTATCTTAGGATACCATTTTAGTAATCCTTCTGGCTTAAGTGTTGAATGTTAAACTCACCTGTCCCAGCTCCTGGGTGTTTCCAATCCCATGAAGTGTGGGTGGAACAAAGGGTGAGGTTAGGACCAGATTGTGAGAGATATATACTAAGGGAAAGGTCTTGGGCTTTTCCTGCTAAAAGATCACAGAGGGATATTAGATAAGTATTTTAGAATGACTATTTTAGAATAGAATCAAGGTGAGAAAATGCTCAGAGAGGCCAGTGGAGAAATGGAAATGGAAGAGCAAGATTCAAGAGCTATTCAGAACCTCCTTAAGAACCAGGATGTGAGAGATGTAAGAAAGGTGTCAAAGGTAACTTAAGTTCACTCAGAAGGCAATTCAAGACAAGCCAGTCTGAAAAGTTTGAGTTCAGTTGTAGACATGCTGAGTTTGTAGTATCTTTTGACCAAGGTAAATGTCCAGAAAGCAGCTGGACATGGAAGGCAGGCTGGGCTATGGATAAAACTTAAGAATCGCCAGAGTGGAGATGTCAAAACCACAAGAATGAATGAGATCACCCAGAAAGTGAAAACAGACAAAACCATGAGGAACACCAACATCCAAGGGACAAACAGATCCCCCCCTCCAAGACTGCAATGGGATCTGATAAGCAGCACCCAGAAAAGGGGGTGGGGGGAAAGGGGCTAGAAGAAATTGACAAAATGGGGAAAATACTAAGAAGGAAAGAGAATATCCATAGGTGTCAAGATTATCAAAAACCAGGCTCAGCGCCTGTAGCACAGTGGTTACTGGGCCAGCCGCATACACCGAGGGTGGCAGGTTCAAACCCGGCCTGGGCCAACTATAACAACTGCAACAAAAAAATAACCAGGCGTTGTGGTGGGCGCCTGTAGTCCCAGCTACTTGGGAGGCTGTGGCAAGTGGAGTGGCTTAAGCCCAAGAGTTTAAGGTTGCTGTGAGTTGTGATGCTACGGCACTCTACTGAGGGTGACACAGTGAGACTCTGTCTCAAAAAAATAAAAAAATTAAAAAACAGGCTGAGGCCTCTTAAGTGGTTAGTGGCACTGGCTGAAGCTTTTCTGAGCTAGATTAGGAAATGAACGACCTGAAATGGAAAAAAGGAACCACTACCATCTTTCCAAAGGTCCTATAGGCGAGTCTCAAGACCTGAGGTCCCAGAGTGCCCTAAAGGACTGGGCCATCTCTGAGGAGCTGGAAACTCCAGACCTCCAAGCTTGGCGGTCTGAATAAATATTCCACCTTTCCACACTGGAGCCAGAGAAAGTCATTCGCCTCCTCTGGCTTGTTTTCTCACCATAAAACAGGGTTAAGAGGTTCGGCGCCTGTGGTTCAAGCGGCTAAGGCGCCAGCCACATACACCTAAGGTGGCGGGTTCGAATCCAGCCAGGGCCCGCCAAACAATAATGGCTGCAACCAAAAAATAGCCGGGTGTTGTGGCGGGCACCTGTGGTCCCAGCTACTTGGGAGGCTGAGGCAGGAGACTCGCTTGAGCCCAGGAGTTGGAGGTTGCTGTGAGCTGTGATGCCATGGCACTCTACCCAGGGGGACAGCTTGAGGCTCTGTCTCAAAAAAAGAAAAAAACAGGGTTAAGGGAATACCTACCTCGACCGGGTGGTGAGGGAATTAAATATTTTGTATTTTTTATGAAATGTTAAGAGCGCTGCCAGGCACCGAACCAAATGTTCCTAAATAGGACCTGGAATTATCACCATCCTAACTCCCTCGGTGGGTGCACCTCAGAAGGCCAACTGGCCGAGCAGAGTGTAGCCCGAAGCACCTCTAATTAGGTCCGAGAGCGGGCCCGAATCTTTCCAGCGCGGCTCAAGGCGCCTCTTGTAGCGGTGAAGCCACACGTGGCGGAGGCCTTCGGTTATCTAATAGGTACCTTGGTCAGCACCGAGATCCCGGGACAAGTCTCCAGGGACCACTTTTCGATTACGATCAGTGTTTTTTCTCTCTTTTTTTTAATTCGGCTCCTGCTTTCCAGACAACGCCGCCGACGCCCTCCGGCAACGTGGTGTCTTCCCGCGCTCATTCGTGCGCCTAGTGCACCTGCGCCAGTCGTGAGGGCTGGACCCAGAGACACCCCCTCACCCCCAGCCAATGCGCGTGCGCCCTCTGCTGGTACGAAACGGCTTTCCTGGAGTGAGTGCGCATGCGCCTCAAGCCCCGCCCCCAGGCTGCTGGCGCGCGGAGCCGTTGGCGACACTCCCAGTACACCTTCTCCCATCCCCGAGCGGGGCCGAACAGCCCCAGAGTAGGGGGAAGAAGGCGGAGACATAGACTGTCACGCCCCCGCCCCGTGTCCATTTGAAGCCCCTCTACTCTTCAGCGCTAGCCAATCACAGACCGCCCTCTCTCGAGCGCCAGCCAATGGGCGGCACGCTCTGGCTGCTTCCGGCTCCGCGTCCCGCTCGCCCCTTCCCCAAGTCTCCCCGCGAAGGGCGGGGCACAGGGGCGGGCGTCGTCCCCAGTGACGCGCGGCAGGCTAGGAGCCAATGAAGGGCGGGTTCGGCGCTGATGGACAGAGCCAGTGACCAGTGGCGAGGCGCTGGCCGCACTTCCCGTCAGGGAGAGAGTGTAATATGGCGAAGACCTACGATTACCTGTTTAAGCTGCTGCTCATCGGGGACTCGGGGGTGGGGAAGACCTGTGTCCTGTTCCGCTTCTCTGAGGACGCCTTCAACTCCACTTTCATCTCCACCATAGGTAGCGAAGCTGGGGAGTGGCCGGGGAAGCGGGAGGCCCGGGCCGGGCGCGCCTCTGAGTGGCCGGAGCTGAGGGATCGACTGGGCTAGACGGGCCTGGGCACCTAAGAAGGTAGAGGAGGCCTGAAGGAAAAATAGCCGCCGCCTCCACCACCGTTCGGGAGTTCCTGGGCCGTGGGGGTTGTTGGGAGGACCAAGTGCAAGGTGGAGAGTGAAGCTCCAATCCTCAGTTTACTTGCTAGGGTTAGGGAACATATGTTCTGGACTGGGGTCTTAGCGCCGTTCGCCTGGTTCTGAACCTCCAAACCTCGAAGCGGTTCTTTTGGGATTCCCGTATTACAAAAGTGGAAACTGAGGCATGAGGAATTGGCCGTGGGAAAAAGACAGTGACTTCTGACTTCTGAGCATTTGCTGTGTGCCAGCTGCACTGTGCACGATCACACTCTCCAGTCTTCTGTATTAGGTGCTATAATGAGCCCGTCTCACAGACGAGGAATTTGAGGTTCAGGAAGGGCATGGAACTTGCTCAGGGTCACACAGTATGCAGATGGTGAGAATGGAATCTGGACCCAGTTGCATATGACCCCAAAACTCTAGAGCCATCAGAGAGATGCCACTATACACTCCTCAAGACAAGCACAGCTGATCCACTTCAGAGCTAGGACTGTAACCCACACCTCTTCTGCTCTTTCCTCTGGAACATTCAGAGGTTGAGCCTTTCTTCCTAACCCTGTCCCCCAGCCCCAAGGGAGTGTATTTTCCTCTAAAGAATGATGAGAGGGAGTTAGGAACCTTTCCTGCCTGCCTTCTGTTCTGCTCAAGGGTGACAGCAATGGAGAGTGACAGCTGCCCTGTCATCCCTGAGAAGATGCAAGATAAAAGCCTCAGTGAGAAACTAAAAACAGCCATGTCACAGACAGCCTTGACTTCCCTATCACAGGGTCTAGGTCTCCAGTTGTCACTTCAGAACAGCCTTTCCCACAGGGCCAGCCCACATTGTGGTTGAATAGAATTGACTTGTTGAGTCTCAACTGATGTCCTCAGAAGTGGAGCTGACTTCTCTCCATGCCACAAGCATAGTCCTTGCCCACAATGGAAAGGTTTGACCTGGGAGTAACATGGATCAAATAGAGTGGCCTGTGAGCTGTGTAGCCCTGCTCAGGATAGGAAAAATGAGGGAACAGTCACTAAGTCCAGGAGTTTATGCCAAATGGAGAAAACTTAGGGAATGGGCTTCTTTGCCCTACTGTGTAATGACTTCAGCCAAATTGTATTATCTCCTTGAACCATGGCCTGCTAATTCTATCCTTGCCCTCTTCCAGAAGCTGCACTTTGTAAAACAGTTATATTCCTCATGTAAAGTAGAGAGAATTGGACTAGAATCATCATGCCTTGGTTTCCAGCTTCTGTTTGCCTTTCAACAAGCACTGCTCCTCTCTGAGTCCTATTTCTTCATAGTAGGAATAACACTCTGCCTTGGACTGTGCTCTGGGTAGTTGAAGGTCAAACAAAGGGTTGTCATCTCTGCCTTAGGCCATATAGAAGTACAGCAACCTCCTATCCTCTGAGTTCTTCCCTTTCCTCCACTCCAAACTCAAACTTTGGGCTAACTCTTGAATCTCCACCAGTCAGGAAGTGGTGTTAACTGCAGGTTTGCCATGGCTCAGCTACCCAGATCTCAGTTTGCCAGCCTCACCTCCTCTCCTCATCCCCAGCACTGACACAGTGAAATCAATTCAGGGATTTTTTTTTTTTTTTAAGAGACTGGGTCTGGGCCCACACAGTGGCTCCCGCCTATAATCCCAGCACTCTGGGAGGCTGAGGCAGATGGATCGCCTGAGCTTACAAGTTCAAGACCAGACTGAGCTAGAGTGAGACCCTGTCTCTTAAAAATAGCCAG